CTCTCTCTCTCTCTCTCTCTCTCTCTCTCTCTCTCTCTCTCTCTCTCTCTCATTCGCTACAAGTTCGCTTACACACAAACACACACATACACATGACTTTCTTACTCTCTCATAGACTGGGAATCAGTAAAATCCTTCTCATTGACTAATGTTAAGTATTGTCCCAGATCTGGATTCGATAGTCTATTTGAGGTCTCCCCTGCATTAATACTTTTCCTGTGCAATGCAATAAAATTTTCCAGTAATTTACCAAAGTAGATTTTTTAACTTACAATAGCTACATTTCCTATTTATAGGCATTTGCTGCGGTGTACCCTGTAAAAAGTGGCACTTGAAAAATTGTCTTAAAATTCCTGTCAGTCTATGTTATCAGGATTTTCTTTCAACACTTTCCATCCTTTGACCATGCGCTCAACAGCATTCTTATACCACCAACTGGTCCTCTCATAAGTCTCATCTCCCGTATACATGTGTGTCTTTATGAAAGTACTGTTGAACCTGTGTAAGACAGGATTGCTAGGGAGCCAGAAAAAAGTTATTATGTTTAGATATTTTCCATCTTAGCTTAGACGGAGGTGGAGGGGAATTTTTTAGGGGGAGAGGGAGGGCGGTTCAGAGGCCCAGCCAGTGGGATCATGTTCCGCTTTCATGTCGGGAAGCAATGTTCAAAACTTCATACCTCTCATGTGCTTCTCTGATAATGGTCTGCATCACTCCTACTTTTCCTTTGCCATCAGTGCTTGCCTTTCATAGGACCACAGTTTGACCTTTTAAAGACAGAAACGTTTCAAGAACATCTCCTTTGCTTCCACTCTTAGCCCCTCCCATTGTTGTAATAAGCATAGTCTACCAATGCCACCCTGCCCGTGCATGTAACAACAATTCGAGGAACTCTTTACTCGGCTGGCCGAATGATTAGGGTGGCAGGCATTGGTCAAACTAACTTCGCACTTCTGGCCTTTGACTACCCATCAAATTTTTCATGCTGGAGGACCACTTGAGCACTTTCCCAAGCACTGATGAAATTTATACCTGATACTCACACCACCCTGACTATCTGTATCGCTAAGGGCTTACATGGATGAGGTAACATCTATCCCCAAATTGCACCTCTACTTCCTTTTCTTGCCTGGCTTTGGAACCAAACTTGATAGTTTTGTTTCAAATATGGGCTGAGTGGGCGAAGCATAAATTTCAGTCTTAGAGAGATTAAAACCCTTCGAAGGGAAAGAATTTCTCTTTCTGTCTCCACGTTAGACAGGTTTCCATTTTATAGAGGTAATTTTAGAGGAATATATCAAAGGGGGAGTGGGGAGATTGTTATGGCAGGTTTTCGTCTTAAACAGAGGTTTCCGTTCAGGCAAGTTTGATTGTACAGTCAAATCTGTTAATGATCTCCAGTAAACAACCACTCCAGTGCCTCTTTTCGTGTTTTTTTTCCCCATTATAATGACACCATCAAAGAACACACCTGTCTAAGATGTCCACTTTTCTCCTTGACATTGGGTTATCGTCTGAGACAGGTTCAACGATAACTTTGGCTGAGGAAAAATAGTTTAATTTTTATCCCTGTCACTATCATCTGAGTAACAGTCTCCTATTTCACTCGCATGATTGCTGTCAGAATCAGTTCTACTTTCTACAACATCATCTCGACTGTCGTATTCCAGTATATATATGCTCATTTAGCAACTTTCAGCTGTGTAGGATCACTTTGCCATCATTCATTAACAATTCAAACTAACTGACCTCTATATTCTCAGATGAGCACTAGAATGGCTTGACTTGAATTTAGATTATCTTATAGCACTTTCCCCAAGAAATCTCTGCAAGGGAAGTCACTGTGCTAAAATGTATAATATATATCAGTTATTATTTAGAGGCATCACTTCAAACGGGGAATCCCCATACCATGTGCTGGCAGCCAGGGACTAATTGGGAATCTCCAGGCGTACTAAGAAATGGGTTAAAATTTAATAAGTTATCATCGTCTTTCACATTTGACGTCATAACAACCTTCATATAGGCCACACAAGACAAAGAGTGGAGATTCTGGGTGTGCGTAATAGGTCAAGTAAGTTTTAAATGGAGACCTCAGCTAGACCTTTTCTCAGGAATTTATATGGGCCAATAAATGGCCGGAAAGTGATCTGTCAATGACGCAGCGAGATTTGAGCTTTACCTTGTGAGCACCAAAATAAAAGCTGGGTTTTTTTACCTTTAATATTTCATTTCATCCTTACCTTGATGTGAGATAAATAAAAAAAACTCACAAGAGTCTCCCCTCCCACCTAGCGTTTCTAAGTTGTGAGGTTAGCTAATTTCATTTTATTCTACAACACTAGCTACATCCTTGGATTTCACTTGTTGATCGACAGGTTCCCAGCCAGCTCCTCTCCATGCATCTGTCTTGAGAGCTGGTACGCCACGCATACCTCAACGCCCGATTTTGTTGGCTAGCAGCAGATTTTTGTCAACCGAAGCTACATCTGAGGAAGTGGACGATGATTATCACACCATTATTAAGGACACAGAAAGAGGAAAAGGTGTGTATAATTTTTTAAAATTCCCTTTGGTGAAGAGATGCTGAAACTTAATTTTATAAAGGTGGAAGATACAAACCAGGGGTTTTCTTTTCACTGATTTTATTATCTGACTGCCTCTACCACCATTCTCTATTTTATCTAAGCATGCAAGTGTATTGTTCGAATTATGACGAGCTGTCCCTTAAAATTGACATAGCACTACATTTAGAGCAGCTTTCTCAACTGACAGTGAAACTGAAAGATTCAGATTCATTATTGAGTCTATTATTTTGAGGTACCTTTGAAAGAAAATGTTCATTCCATGTACAGATTAATGTCATGTTAAAATTCTGTTTCTTTTATTTGTGTAGCAGTCTCTAAATTGTGTACTTCATGTTATAGGTCCATCTGATACCCACGAGTTTCAAGCTGAGACAAGGCAACTACTGGACATTGTAGCAAAGTCTCTGTATTCTGAAAAAGAGGTGTGTATGTTAACAATTTGAGGTTGTATTCAGTTTTGCCTTTGAGAAATCATCTTAACTATGTTTATGAAATAGTATACATAAGAGGAGAATCACAAGAACTAGGAATTTTTCATCCACTGGACAGTTTTTTCCTTTTGTTTCCGTCTTATTGCAAGGCCTCTCATTCGATATTTTGTATCTCACTTTGTCAAGATATTCGCTCACGTACAGAAGTTATGTAATATACAATTCGAAAAAGAACTCAAACTGACAAATACACATATTAGTAATTTCGTAGTAAATTTATTAACAAAAACAGTGCGGTATATATCATAAATATTTCTCATTATTTAAGTTTTATTTGCATGTATAGATGAACTAAATTTTCACATGTGTAATACATACAATTACATATGAAGTTTCAGAACATATTAAAGCTCTGGAACTTTGTAAAATGTGCACATATTTGACAGAAATAATGTTAACATTGAACGGAATAATTTTGGATGATGACTGAGCAGTAATGGTAGAATTTCATGGTCAAATGACAAGCCAAGGTGCTTTTAAAACACTGAACTGATAGCATTATAAAATAATTCATGAACAATAGCAGTTTTCAGTTAACAGGCTGCAATGTGTATCTTGAGATTAAGATAGTATACCGAGTTGCAAAAGTTCTGTCACACCCATTATATTACGATAATTTTCGATATAGAATGAGAATTTTAGTAACATTTAAAAGTATGGGTTGTGGGACTTATATAAATGAGACTTCTTGTGCTAGAGCAGACCAAAGAAATCATAAACCGGAAGTAGTACGTGGACAAAGTGTTGGAATTGATTTCTCTCGGTCTGTGTTGAAATCAACGCTTCCTACACACAAAATTTGCTTTGAATCACATAGACATTGTGTAAACACACCTTACACACTATAAAATTCCGTACTTTTTAACAGTTGGGTACCTTATTCTCCTGTTTTCAAAATTTAAAAAATGATAAATTCAGAAAATAAAGGGGCTGTGTGTATGATAAATTCTTTAATTGCGCTTTCTGCTTTTGCAAGACACGTAAATGTTTGCAGAGGAATCATCTAACCCTTGAACAAACGTTTTAATACCACTAGAACTGACCAAGACAAGCCGAGACGTAGCCAACCAAAGGCGACAATTCGACATCAGAACTGGGTTATTGTCAACACCCATGTTCAAAACCCAGTCCAACTTAGTGCAGAGACTTCTAGGTATTTCGGACTGTCTTGAAACATCATTATGGGACATTTTTGAGATCGTGGATAACGTGATTATTGCCTTTTATATGGAACCATTCTAACCCTGTTTCATGGAAGAAATTGCCAAATTTTGGCACAGCAATATTGTCCATAAAACTAAAGACGTTGGTAAAGTGTTCTTTTCAGCAATGGTTAAGGTTTTTAATTCGTAGCATTGATGGAAGAGAAAAAGTGTTTAAAAGAAGAGAAGAGAAATTTCACAAATCTAACGTCCCCCAAGAGGTCAAAAGGTGGCTGAAATGTGGTGGTAGGGGGTGGAATCTCTGCTTTTTATCGTATACATTTAGTTACTTTTCAAAGCTATCTCAAATAACGACATTATTGTGACGAAATTCTTCGTCACGGTGGCTGCGCTAAATGGCACGGATGATGGAATCTGCTAACAAGACAACGCCCGACCACAAATGGCTAGGATCAGTGAAAACTTCTTCCAAACACATCAAATCGTTGTTCTGGACTTGCCTGCAAGATCCACAAGCCATAACCTAACAGAACATCTGTAAGAGGATCTTGACTGGAGGATTAGAAACAGGCCGCACCCAGTACAAACTGGTCAGGAACTGAAGGCTGCACTTCACAAGGAATGGCAGGGGATTCTTCAGACAACCATAAGGACTTCAATTCAATCAATGAACAGATGTTTTGTATCAGTAATTCAAGCTAGAAGAGGCCACACGCCATACTGGGAAAACTTTGATTTGGATTTTGCAAGTGTCAGTGTGAATAAAATTATCCCCCTTGAATAAGGAAAGACATGTGTCAATTCTTTTTATGTCATGCTGGCAGAAAATTAATAAAGATCGCGTATACCAAATTTCTCTTGGCTATGTTGAGTAGTAAATGAGTTATTGTACTTTTAAGGTGGGTGTGACAGAACTTTTGCAACTCGGTATATAAATTGAAACGTTTTTGCAGCTAAGAGAATTATTCAAAAGTTGTGTCAGCTCCCCACTACCTCTCCACTACTTCCTTTGAATAGGTCCAAGACTATTATATTTTACTTCAGCTTTACCCAGTCACTTTTCCAGATACACAATATCAGCTGAAACACTGATGCTCACTACTGAGTTTTCTTTTGAATTCCTTAGTTTATACAAGACAGTTTTTAAAATGTGTTTTTTTTCCTGCTTTTCTGAAGATTTACAAAATCGAATTATTGATTACAAAAACCAACAATAACTGAAAAGGAAATTGTGAGTCATTGAAATGGATGTGTGGTAGCAGGAGACAAGACTAGCTCAAATTTGTGGCAACGTGGTGAAATCAACTGCTAGTCAAAATGAGAAAATCGAAGAGACCGACATTTTTCCACTCATTTTGTGGTCTTTATAGATTTTTTTTGTTTTGGGCTCAAGACCTTTCATGTCCATTTAAAGACACATTCCTGCGTGAATTTTACCGAAAAACGTTGATGAAAGGCACCAAATATCTACAATTGCATTTTCAAGGACGCTTCACTACAGCTTTGGAAGTCACCAGA